AAACAGCTATACAAGTGTCCAATGAGCACAAGAAAGATACTCAAAATTATTAATCATTACGAAATTATGAATCAAAACTACAAAGAGATATCATGTAATGCCCATGAGAATGGCTATAACAAAAGACAGATAAAGATGAATGGATAAACAAAATGGGATACATGCAACGGAATATTATTAGGTCTTAAAAAGGATGGAAATCCTGTCACATGCTATAACCCAGACAAAACTTGAGGACATTATGCTAGGTGAAATAAGCCAATCACAGAAAGACAAATACTGTAAGATTCTACTTACACGGTGTATCTAAAGTGGTCAAATTCATAAAAACAGTAGAATAGTGGTTGCTAGGGGTTAAGGGTTGGGGGAAATGGGAGTTGTTATTTAATGGATTTAGAGTTTCAGTTTGCAAGATGAAAAAGTTCTAGAGAGCTGTTTCACAACAATGTGAATATTCTTATTAATGAACTGTACACTTAAAAATGACTAAGATGGTAAATTTTATGGGGTTTTTTATCATGACTAAAAACAAAAAAATTTTAAAGATGGACAATAACAGTGCTGGCAAGGATGTGGAGAAACTGGTACTCTCATACATAGCTGGTGGGAATGTAAAATGGTGTAGCCTTTTTAGAAAATAATTTGGCAGTCAATTCCACAAAAAACTACTAGAGCTGATAAACAAATTCAACAAGGTAGCAGATTACAAGATTAACATACAGAAATCTGTTGCATTTCTTTACATTAACAATGAAATGTCAGAAAAGGAAAGTAAAAACAAAAAAACAAAAACAAAAAGAAGAAAAAGAAGAATCCCTTTAAAATCACATAAAAAAAATACTTGGAAATAAACCTGACCAAGGAAGTAAAAGACTTATAAGCTGAGAACTATAAAACATTGATAAAGGAAATGAAAGATGATTTAAAGAAATAGAAAGATAACACAAGCTCTTGGATTGTTAAATTAATTAATACTGGTAAAATGGCCATACTACCCAAAGCAATCTGCAGATTTAATGCAATCCTTGTCAAATTACCCAGGACATTTTTCACAGAGCTAGAACAAATAATCCTAAAATTTATATGGAAACACAAAAGACCCAGAATTGCCAAAGCAATACTGAAGAAAAAGAACACAGCTGGAGGCATTAACCCTCCCAGGCTTCAGACAATACTACAGAGCTACAGTAATCAAAATAGCATAGTACTGGCACAAAAACAGATATATGGATCAATGGAGAAGAATAGAGAGCTAGAAATGAACCCATTCACCTATGGTCAATAAATCTTCGAAAAGGAGGCAAAGAATATACAGTGGAGAAAAGACAGCCTCTTTGGCAAGTGGGGTTGGGAAAGCTGGACAGCCACATGTAAATCAATGAAGTTAGATCACTCCCTTACACCATACATGAAAATTAAATTCAAAATGGCTTAAAGACTTAAATATAAGACAGGACACCATAAACCTCCTAGAAGAGAACCTAGGCAAAACATTCTCTGATATAAATCATAGAAATGTTTTCCTAGGTCAGTTTACCAAGGCAATAGACATAAAAGCAAAAATAAACAAATGGGACCTAATTAAACTTACACGCTTTTCCACAGGGAAGGAAACCAAAAATAAAACAAAACAAAAAGACAGCCTACAGAATGGGAAAAGATATTTGCAAATGATGCAACTGACAAGGGCTCAACTTCCAGAATATACAAACAGTTCATACAACTCAACAACAACAAAACAAAGAACCCAGTCAAAAAAATGGGCAGAAGACCTTAACGGACATTTCTCCAATGAAGATCACAGATGAAAAAAAAAAGAAAAAAAAAAACAAAACACAGATGGCCAATAGGCATGTGAAAAATGCTCAGTATCGCTAATTATCAAAGAAACGCAAAATCAAAATGACAATAAGGTACCACCTCACACTGGTCAGAGTGGCCATCATTAAAAAGACCACAAACAACAAATGCTGGAGAGGGTGTGGAGAAAAGGGAACCCTTCTATACTGATGGTAGAAATGTAAATTGGTACAGCCACTATGGAAAACCGTATGGAGATTCCTTAAAAAAGTAAAAACAGAATTGTTATATGATCCAGCAATCTCACTCCTGAGCATGTATTTGGAGAAAACTCTAATTCAAAAAGATATATGCACCCCAATGTTCATAGCACTACTATTTACAATATCCAAGACATGGAAGCAACCTAAATGTCCACTGACAGATGAATTAATAAAGACATTGTGGTATATATATATATATATATATATATATATACATACACTCAGCCATTAACAAGAATGAAATAATGCCATTTGCAGCAACAAGGATGGACCTAGGGATTATCATACTAAATCAAGTAATTCAGATAAAGACAAATATATGATATCACTTATATGTGGAATTTTTAAAAATAACACAAATAAACTTATTCACAAAACAGAAAGAGACTCACAGACACAGAAAACAAACTTATGGTTACCAAAGGGGGAAGGAAGGGAGAGATAAATTGGGAGTTTGGGATTAGTAGATACAAACTACTATATACAGAATTGGTAAAAACAAGGTCCTGCTGTATAACACAAGGAGCTGTATTCAATAACTTGTAATAACCTATAGTGAGAACAAATATGAAAAAGGATATGTGTGTGTGTGTGTATGTGTATACACACACACACATGTATAACTGACTCACTATGCTGTATGCCAGAAACTAACATGATATTGTAAATCAACTATACTTCAAATTAAAAAAAAAAGTTAAACACAAAGTTCTGTATGACTCTGAAATTCCACTCCTAGATCTATATCCAAGAGAAATGAAAACATATGTCCATACAAAAACATGTACATATATGTTCATAGCGATATTATTCATAACGGCCAAAAAAATGGAAGTAACTCAAATATCCATCAACTAGTGAATGGATAGGTAAAATGTGGTATGTGTGAGCAGAGTGGTGCAATGGAAGTGTGCTGGGCCAGAGGTCAGTGAATCAAAATAAAATATGGAATAATCGTATGATGGAATATTATTTGGCCATAAAAAGGAATGAAGTACTGATAAATGCTACAACATGGATGAATCTCAAAAACATCATGCAAAGCAGAAAAGGCCAGTCACAGAAGACCACATACTGTGTGATTACATTTATATGACATGACCCAAATAGGTAACTCTATAGAGACAGAAAGCAGATTAGTGGTTGGCAGTGAGTGGGGAGGAGGGAGGAATGGGGAATTACTACTGATAGGAATGGGGTTAAGTGCTAGAATGTAAATGTTTACGTTCCAAAATAGAGAAAAGCAGCCATAATCTTACCACAGAATAGAACAGCTATTTCCCTTTTTCTGATATATCCTCTGATTGGTGATGGCTTTTTCACAAACATGACTGAAATAGGAATGGCTAAAATAAAGGTGTTAAGGTCTCTGTCTTAATCAAGAAACAAGCCTCCAAACTTAGGAATTCCTAGTTGGGAGAAATTCACTATGTAAACTTCAAACTTCTAAGACATAACTTAAAGGAAATATGTAACCAATTATTGGCACAAATACCCACATTTTGCTGGGTGAGTGTTCCTCATGGTATAACTGCAGTTTCCCCTGCTATTTCTTAGAATCTCCAGATGAGGTCTCTGGCCACTGTCCTTCCTGAAGTCACAGCCTGTAAACTTAAGATGCAGCCCTTAGGGGTCCCCTCCCGGAAATGCTGCCCCACTGTGGGCTTGGGGACACTGGCACGGAATGGAGTGTGATATTGGCCAAATCACTTGATCTCTTTGAGCCTCTGTTTGCTCACATATAACATTGGGATGGTAATAAATACCACTTCACAGGGTTTTAGTGAGAATTGAATTAGCCAATGTCTGTAAAGTGCTTGGTTCAATAAACAAAGGCTGTTATGTTCATCATCCAAGGATGCATTAAAAGAAGTCACTTCCAAACCGCACTCCCACACCCTCCCTATTTATCTACACAGTGACCCCATAAGGCAATTGCCAGTTTCAGATGACATTCTACTTGGTCCTCTGTGGGTGAGGCCAAGAGACAATGCATGTGTCTCGTAGATAACAGAACCCAGGACACATTTCCTGAGTAAATGAATAAAATGAGCCTCAAATCCCTTTGCTTAAAGTAAAAGGGCTTTGTTTTTTTTCCTGACTATAGAAATAGATGAAAAATTATTAGTTATTTGAAAACTATATATACACAACTAACTATATATACACATAACTGTATAAAACTATATATACAACATCACAGAAAATTGAAAAGTAAAGAGAAACTTTAACAAGTACTCATATTCCTACCACCCAGAGGGCAGTCTAACACATTTTGACATGTTCCTTTTTCACTATTTTTACATTATTGAGTTAAGTTTTTATACTTTATATACTTTTATATCCTGCATTTTTTCACTTAGTACATTAAAGCATATCATTTGATACATTTCATAAATAATGTCAAAGTTTGAATAATACTTCATTATTTGGGAATATTTAACTAACCATTTCCCCATTGTTGGATTTTTAGAATGCTTCCAGTTTTCTATTGCAAATTACATTTTCTGTATGTTTTTATGTATATATGTATATTATGAGCTGAGAAAAGAATAGAGACATATATGTATGTGAGGGGGGTGCCTTTGGGATGGGATTGTTGGGATGGGGCAAGGATTTGCACTTTTATGTTACATTACATACTTCTTTACTGTTTAAATCATTTACTGGGAGCAAGGATGACTTTTGTAATTTAATGTTTAAGCAAAGGAAGGAAGGAGGAGAACAGAGAAGCATACAGATCTATAATTAAAAAGTAGGGATGTTAGTAGGGGAGGGTATAGCTCAGTGGTAGAGTGTGTGCTTAGCATGCACAAGGTCTTAGGTTCAATCCCTACTACCTCCATTAAAAAAAAAAAAAGTAGGTATGTTTTGGATTTAATTTCTCTGAGCGAAAAAAGGAAATAGCAAACTGCAAAGGATCCCAGCCCAACTTACTGATTGATTTTAGATTCTGTGGTACTTCCAGCTTTGTCTCTCAATTTGATTGTTATGGATCCTCTTCTTATGTTCTTGTTCCAAGTTATAATATCCACAAAGTAATGATATACTGCAAAACAGGGAGAGAATTATGGTAAGAGAGAAATATTCCCAATTGCTTTCTTGAAGGTTCAATTCCTAAAAACCTAACCTCCCTAATAACTGAGTCTCTTTTTCTCTTCCTCTCTAGTTTTTCTGAAAATATCCAGGGTAGAATTTTTTTAACATTTTTTTTCTCTTCTCTTTGGTAAAGATGGCCTGAGTGACAGCAGAATTCAATGGTATCCAGTTGCCATGTTTAGGCATCACTCTTGAATCAATGTTTTCACCTTATTGACTGAAGTCTCATGGCCTACTGCCAAGTATGATTGGTTTACTTCCATCCCTGCCCTTTTAGAATAAACCAAACAGGTGACAATGTAGAGACCCCCCCTCCCAGCAACTTAACAGTGTCTTTCCCAATCTGGGCCACATCCACCAGCCTCCCCAGCCTCCCTCACTCTTCATGAGCCATGCCACACCACCTGCACTGCCACCTTCTCTCTTGCTCCTAGGCCTTCCCTCCACTTGGACACTCTTACTTTGCCCCCTTTGCCAACTCATCCTTCAGGTTTTGGTTTGATACACTTCCTCCAGGAGGGCTTCAGTGACCCTGAGAACTAAGTCAGGTCTCTCTCTCAGAGTTCTTATCATGCTCTGGTATTTTCCCATCCTTAATCAGCACACTTTACTGCATTTACAAAATGCAAGAAAAATGATCATCAAAAAAGTGGTAAATGTATGTGTACATCTATACAAATATTACCTGAGTAATGTCTTATGGGGTGGGGAAAATAAAGGTAAAATATACTGCAACAATGACTAGGAAGGGATGATTTTTCCTCTCTAATCCCAGCAGTGATACCTATGGATACCCATTAATGCCCCCTGAATAAATGAGGGCTTATAATGTGTCCAGAGAACTATTCTTCCTCCCTACTCTCTGTTCCTCAAGGTCAAGGATGCTCTGGGAAAATGGAGACCTCACTATGATAGTCAGATTAGCTATCTCTTGGTCAGAGCTGCAAGAAGAGGAAAGAGGCTCAGGGAGATGACAATCCCATGAAGGTATAAGGTCAGACCTGGAGTTGCATTTCATAGCCCGTGACTGCTCCGGGGCCTGCCCCATTTGGATCGGGCAGACACCAAACCCTGGGCTGCCACACATGCCTCCAAAGGAGGAGAGAAACACAGTGAACTACAACCTCTTTTATAGCGATTACTCCCAAGAAAAGTGAAAGGGGAATAAGATTGTAAGACATACATCTGCCCAGGAAAATTCCTACTTGTTTCCCACGGCACTTAATCATCTGCTGCCCCATTAGCTTCCATCTGGAATACCCAACCTCTCAATGTCTTTATAAGGCCATTGTGGCTGCTTTGGAGCTGGAACTGGCCCATAGATGTGGCTGACACCTGATTTTTCCTAGGCCCAATCTCAGGTCTCTCGGGACTCAAGCAAATTTTCTGGACGATCCTAGTGCTTAAAATGGCCATTCAGTGAAGCTAACGACTATGATTTGTTGAGATTTTAATTCTTATAACCCAGAAGATAGGCATGATTATCCCGATTTTACTGAGCAGGACATGAAGACTCAGAGAGGTAAAGTGTCTTGACCAAGGTCACACAGCTGTTATGTGGTGGAGTCGGGACTCAGCCTAGGTCCTTCCAGCTCCAAAGTCCGTATTTCACCACAGCCCTCCTTTGCCAAGAAGTAGCCAGGAAGCTGAGACCCAGCCATTCCAAAAAGAGAAGAGTTGGACAAAAGCGAAAAACCACATTCACCACTCACTGCAGAACGGTTTCTCCTCAGCTGTGTCAAAGAATGCTTTAGTCATAGGAGGATCCTTCTCCCTTAAATAGTCTTTCCAATTATCAGCATAATAACCTATAAAACAAGCCAGGAAAGTGGAACATTAACACGTATTATATAAATGTAAAAGCAATTGGGGAGGGCGTGAGGACAGCAGTTTGACTGCCACCGCCACTGAGACAATCCCCCTCATACCCACTCCCACGGGGAGGACCTGCAGGGCCACCAGAGCAGGGCCCCTCGCTCCCGGCACCTACCATAGCTTGCTCGCAACCCTAGGTCTAAGAGCTGGGGCTTGCAAAAGGACCCTACATTGGCTTTTCCCCCTTTCTACTGATATTACATCAGCCAGCCCTGGTTCTCAGAAGCAAGGGTGGGGATGTGGGGAGTCACACACAGTGGGTGGACTAAAAATAGCACCGTATTTTTCAGTAATACATTCATTTTTTAGATTAAAACAGATTCAGTTTTATGCCTAGAACAGCATCACTTTTGCAAAGCGATGTGCTTTCTTGAAGAACTAAAATCAGGCCTGTAAAATGCGCAGAACTTGGACTTGCCATGTGACTATGTCAACAAGCAGGGGAACATCCTCCTTCATGTCTGTGCCTGCAGGAATGAGGCTGAGTGCCATCTGTGGGGCCCCTCTTTCTCCTCTGTTCCCACCACTAGAAAGTGGCCTCCACATCCTGACTTAATTGATCTGGAGTGGGACCCAGGCATCAGTATTTTTTAAAAGCTGGCCTAGGTGAGTCTAGTTCACAATCAAGGTTGAGAACCCCTTATCTATAGTATGCCCTGATGTTAACTTGAGTTTTTCCTTTGGGAACCATTAGGAAAGTCTCATGACCAGCCAAAGTCCTCACCACCTGAAATATTTCCACTAACCGTTAGCAAATATTCAAGCAGCCTTCACGGTGTCTGTTACCCCAGCCCACCCCTGCGTGTGTGTCTCTGTACACAGAACCAGAGTGTGGCCTGAGGGCATTTACAGGCTCAACCTGTTAGAAAGGATCACCCTGTAAGAGTTTCCCCCAGCAGAGGGGTTGTTGTGCATGGAGAGGGGCTTCCGGTCCCCATGGGAGCAGGCTACACAAGGTGACTGTGCCTGGGTGAGCTTGGAAACTGTTCTGGAACCTCTTTTTTTCTTTTTTCTTTTGCTAGAATAGAATGTCCAGGGAGGTCACACTACCTTCTGGATGAAACCCTATATAGATTACTTTTTGAACACTTTATTATTAGGAGACTCCAGAATACTTCACAGAACACATTGGCTAGAAAAAACTAACTAAACAATTTTTTAAAAAACACACCATTTGGTGGCTTATTGTTAGATGGTAAAATGGTGGTAGGATTCTATCAAAAATCAGCTTTTTGGTAATCAGAGGGGAAACTGCTTGTTGGACTTACCCAGAATGGGACAGGACTGCGTCTGTGGTGTGCCACAGCTGACACACTTGCCATTCCTGTAATCGCGGTAGGAGTCACAGGGATACGCAGTGATGGTGCAGTTCTCTCTCAGGGAAGAAAGGTACAGATACACGGACCTCTGGTGGTCACACTTAAAATACTGCATTCCTTGGTTGTAGAGGGAATGATCAAAGAGTAGAGCAGTTGTAACATTCAATAAGAGATAGATAACATTGTAAATCTACTATATTTCCATGAAAATAATAATAAATAGGGCATCACATATAGTTTACATACACACTGTATCATGTCTCCCATACACCAGGCACTGTGCTAACAGCTTCAGTGTATTTGTTTTCATTTAATCCTTATAAAAACCAATCGATCAGGGCTCGTGGTAGCAAGTGGCAGGAGAAAAGAAGATAGGCAAGCTTATCCCCATTTTACCTAGAAGGACATTGAGACTCAGAGAAGCTAAATGACTTGACCAAAGTCACACAGCTATTATGTGGAGGAATCAGGATTCAACCTACATCCTGCCTTTGTCAGTGAAAGGAGGAGAAAATTTCAATGGCAGTTGGAGATCCCCTAGAGGTTTTCAGCAGAAGGCAAGCACATTTAAACTAGTAAAGACATCGGAGAAAGAAGGGATTGGGAAGTAACTGGCAGAAGAAGATCCCCAAGTAGGGCAAGGAGAGGAGAGAGCTGTGAAAAGGATGAGGGATGCCTCCTCCACCCTGGGTCAGAAGGGAACATGAAGGTAAAGAGCAACCTTGTGATCTAAGATTCAAATAGATAAAGTGGCTCCTTCAGGTGGGACCTTGATCTCGGTACAAAAGTCAAATCTAGGATTTATAGGTGGGAAGGCATTTGGAATGGAAGCATGAGGAGTGATCACAGGGAGTCAGCAAGAGATAAACATGAGGATTTTCCAGCATCATTGAGAACCGTGGAGAAGTTAGCAAGTTTGTCTGGATCTTGCACTCGATCAACAAGACTCCATGATTCCTCCCGAATGTGCCCAAGCCAAGATGGGCATTCATGAGTGGAGCCAAATGGCAGGGGCTCTGTTTCTGCTACAGAGGTGAAGGGTGAAGTGAGAGAGACGGAGCCAAAGGAGGTGGTGGTGGAAGCCATAAATGGGCAAGAAGAGGTGAGAGAGGCAAGCCCCATGTTAGTTCTTGGTGGGTGCCATGTGGTGTGACGGTGAAAGAGGAGTCTGATGAGGCACAGAGATGGGCATCAGAAGAGTTGGAGATGATGAAACACTGCAGCACAAAATATCAGAGAGGCTGTCAGAAGGTTGATGGGTCAGATGATGAAGTCATTCAGAAATGGGAACTGGGTCCGAAATATGGGTCATCAAAAGAGGTAAGGATCTGAAGAGCAAACAGTGACCCCATGAAAAGAGGAGTTATGATTATGAGCTAGTAGTTTGGAGAGGCACTGGGTGCCGCAGTCAGATCGACGTTTTTTTCTTCCTCCAGAGTCTACGTATGTCCATAGAAAAGATCAGTGAAGGACAAAAAGAAATATACTGGGTGAGAGAGGAGAAGCCTGGGGCCAAGCTGGACTGCAGTACCGTCTGACAAGTCAACATTTAATTATTGTTCCTGAAACTTCCACTTGCAGAAACAAGTTAATAACACTACAGAGGATGTCATTTATAAGCAAAGCACATGATCTCTGGCTCCTCATGGATGTAGTTACACTCGAGCACACAGGACGGGATTTGAACACACACATTTATGGTACAATAAGGTTGGCCCTACTTATGCCATTCATCTGGATCATTTTCAAACACTACATCATTTCCATGCAGCTGTATACAGCTATCATTTTGTAACAAGATTCACCTTTTTCTAGAATGATTTCTGTGATTGTTGAACTTTCTCTAACAATGGTGAAGTACAGATTCAGAGCACTTAGGGATGGGTTTTTTTAATTCTGTCCTCCCCACCACACTTTTATGTTGCCCTGAAACTACTCACTTTTGTTTTGTGAGTTTTTTTCTTGTTGTAAAACCAATACATGCTTATTTAGAAAATAAAAAATAATAGCAAGTTATGATGCAAAAATCACCTAGAAACCTAATATCCAGAGATCACCACTAATAATTACTGGGGAGCATTTATGTTTAGTCCTTTTTTCTAAAGCTACACATGCACAAATATACATCTAAAAAACAAAGTGGGATTATACTGTATAATTTTGTATCTTTTTCACTTAACATCATATTGTAAGCATTCTCATTAACCTGACAATGTGATTTTTAAGAATTATATTCTTTTGTGTGGGTGTACCATACTATTTAATAATTTTCCTATGTTGGACATTTAGATAGTTTCTAAAAACTTAACTATTATAAATAATGTTGTGTTGAATATCTTTGCACTCTGATTTTTCACTACATTTTCCATTATTTCTCGGGGGAGATTTCCAGATGTGGAGTTTCTAGGTCAAAAACACACCCTTTCAAAAGAGAGAAATAATTCTTAATAGCTTTTAATCATATGGTTATGTTTTTTTTAAAGTAGTATATTTGAATAATAATGTTTAATTTATATTTATACCACCTCTGTCTTCTCAGGAAATACGTTCTCTATTAAAATGATTGCACATAGAATAATATCAGCTTTTTTAAAGACACTTTTTTTAAACCACCATTTTACAAAATATAAAGTATCTGCACTTACCTCCAAGTATTGTTTGGGGACAGCCAGGTTGATCCAATCCTCCATTTGGGTAGAAATCTATGTTCCCTAATGGTTCCTTGTAGCCCAGTGCTAAAAAGGGAATACACTATGTTCTTATGCTGCTTTGAATTTTCCCCATCTCATAGCTCATCTGCCTATAGGACAGGCAGGGACTGTATTATTATTGTTGTTGTTGCTGCTATTGTGGTTGTTGTTACATTTTTTAAGTATTTTACCCAAAGTTACCCAGATAGTTAGTTAGAAAGCAATGATTTCCAACTAGGAGACAAAGAAGATGGTAATGGAATTTATTTATAATATTTCTGAAGATGTAAGAGAGTATGGTCGCTCATTCACCACGAGGCTGATAAAATGATGTTTCCTTTTCAATTTGTTCTGAACCTTCTTATCACTGGGTACTTCCTGATCCTCTAATTGCATTTGTGTAACTCTTCAATGAGTAAGAAACAGGAAAAAATGAACTATCATTTAGAAGGAGGAACCTTTAAAATTTGGGGACCTAGGATAGTTGAAAGATTGGAAACTCTTCTAGAAATTGGGGACGTAGAAAATTGTAGCTGGATTTAATAATAGCTTATTCTCTTTACCTTGTGACCCCAAAGTAATCAGTAAAATGCTTGATTAAAAGATTGTGTGTATGTGTGTGTGTATAGTACATCATTGCAATGATAGCAATAACCATTAAAGATTGAGAACCTACATGTGTCTGTGGGCATGATAGTAGGGGTTTTACATAGCTTTCTTCTAATTTTCACAATGTTGAAAAAGTAGCCATTTTAAAATTCAGACGAAGTAAGTTACAGATGAAGATGCTGGGGCTCAGAGGACTTATGGAATAAACATGACACCACAGAAAGAACAAAACCTGGAATTTGAGTCCACCACTGCCTGACTACAAAGCTTATACTTTTTCCCTCAAAATTTGCTTTCTTTCCAAGAATGAAAAATAAATTACTCAATGCCATCAGGCATTAAAATGGCATTGAAGTACTGCACTTAAGGAAGGGGATACTTTGCAAACTACACAGTAAGAACACAGCTATTTCACAAAGCTGTTTCTTCTAAGACAAATAATTGCTGAGTACTGCACCAGAGCGCCCATGATAGGCAGTCAAAGGTTTTTCAGGTGGTTGTATCACAGAGAGGGTGTACTATTAAATGACCACTCTGCTCTGTCCCCTCAGCCCTCCCCAAGTTCCTACTCTAGCTCTTTCCCCAGACATCTGGTTGTAAAGGCCATCTTTAACATCAGCCCGACGCCCAAGCCATGTGCCCAATCAACACCGTCAAAGACAGAACTGGCCAGAAAGAGCCACAGAGAGCTGGAGAGCTCTAGGTGGTTCAGAGGCGCTCTGTGTGGTGAGACACAACACCTGAATGTACATTTCAGCTTAGGGAAATAATGAGAAAGAACCAACAAAAACAGGAAATCATGCACCCAAACCCCATTGCACTTATGGAAATATCTGTCCACATGGTGTACAAATCGGCCTGTCCTTGATTGGTCAAGATGGTCACTTTAAAAATAAGACGAGATGAGGGGGAGGGTAGAGCTCAAGTAGTAGAGTACATGCTTAGCATGCACAAGGTCCTGGGTTCAATCCCCAGTACCTCCTCTAAGAAAATAAATAAATAAACAAACACACCTAATTACCCCCCCCAAAATAAGGACAACACCTCCATCCTGCAGGAGATCCTGGGTGCCTGCATTAAGCCCGCTTCCCTCCAATATAGAAAAAGAGGGAATCTGGCAGAACCTGATCTGCCTCTGCATGAGGATCCCCTCAGGGGGAGACTCTTTGGGAGTCTGGGGGCTCACTGACCCACCAGGACAGGAATGTTACCATCAATGTCGGAATGGATGACATCAATGAACTGTGCGTCACCGGGATCTAATCTGTCCTCTGGAGGTTTCCCGTTGAATAAAGGGCCTGCAGGGTCCAGACCTGGAAGGAAAACAGAGTCAGCTTGGCAGCCCCACGCCATGAGTCACCTGCAGCCGGGCTTTTGATCCCTCCCCGTGAGAACGGCTCCCAGGCTGCAGGGCACCCTCCGGTGGGCAAGCACTCACATTCCCATCCTGCTTTGTCAGGCTCCTCTCCACAGCCCCGTAGCCTTTTCCCACAGCAGAGGTGGTTACCCTGGCAGTGCATCCAGACTCCACAAGGAGGTCTGTTTTGTGCCGGGCTTCACAGCAGGGAATGCACAGACATATGGGGACCAGGACATGGGGGTAAACTGGTTCCTCAGGAGCAAAGCATCTAAGGGTGCATATAAAAAGCAGACACTATACTTATCTTTATCCCATTTTAAATATTCCAGAAACCTCATTCAACTTTTGTTTCTTGTTGTTACTAAAACTCCTTTACTATTTCCATTTTAATTCAGTTACCAGTTCACATAGTCCACCACACAGGCCTTGTGAGGGAGGCAGACTAGCTGTTATCATTCCCATTTTACAAATGAATGAACTGAGGTTCCAGAAGAGCAAGTGTCTTAACTAGGACCAGAGCCTCACAATGCAACCATCTCTCTCTGTTGAGCTTTTGATTTCACTGAACTGGGTTTGGCAAACTCAGTGGGAAACTGTGAGACCCATTGGTCAGGCCAAGTATTAGACAAGGTATCGAAGAGGGAAATAAAATGGGTGTCAGTTCCTGCAGAATTAACCCACCGTATAAATGCCTGAACTGATTTCCTGCCCTTGGTCAACACCATCTGGACGTTCCTCACCATCACTATGAAACAGCCGCAAAAACAAGAGAGCCGCTCCTGTGATGATGTAACCACAAACTAAAAACAAAACACCACAGGATCCAGGAGGCCTTGCTAACTAGAAACTTACCTGGAGAGAAAAAGGTTTCAAGGAATATCTCCAAGTTTTTATCTATGAAGGTCATTTTAAATGACATCTATCCCCCAGTGCTATGAAATCCAAGAGATGGCATCTTTGTCTCTGCATTCCTGGTTCCAGCCTCAATCTCTCCATTTCTCCTCAGCCAACACCCTTGCTTCTCATGTCTTTATCTGCCTCCTTTTCTTATCTCCCTCTCATTCCCTCATCCAGTTTTTCTTTCTCTTCTGTCTGCTCCCAACTAAACTGTTGTGGGAGGAGGTGGATCAAAACCCAGGCACCCAAGTCCACAGGATGTTCTCAGCACAGCGTGAGAAACTCATAACGTTGGAAAGAATTTGCTGGAGAAGCCTCCCCCTCCTCATGTGAAACAGCACCCCTTCCAGTCTGAGAAAATGAATAGTGAGAACCTCAGCTTGTAGCAGCCTCCAGATCCATGGTGGATAAATCGGTTTACCATGTAAAGTCCAAACCAGGGCAATTTTGAAAGTGATGAGGGTGCTATTAATAATTATACCAGAACAGAAGACACAAATGGGGACAGTCATGGTAAACTTGGATGTAAGATCCTAGAGATAAATCATAGCAAATGATGGGCTCCCACTGTCAGCTAAAAATCACAGACTGTCCTAAAAAGCTGCAGGTTTTGTGAGCAGAGACCACTGGCGTCAGGTAGATGTGACATGGCACCCTGAACTTTGGGCTAACCAGCTGAGTGAGCTTAGGGAGGTTACTTTACTTCTCTGAACCTCAGTTTCCTTATCTGCAACATGGAGATAGAATTAATTGCTACTTCAGAAGACTTATAAAAGGACTCCTGGATCTGAATCCAGAATATTCTGAGATTATTATAGAATAGAGACAAAATCAGAAAGTGGAACTCTTTCTTGCTGTTCTGCAATCACCAGAAAAGTGTGTAGCTAGTGATCCCTGGCATTGATTGCAAGATTATCCAGTCTGAGAATTTGATGAAAGCTCTGGACCTCTCCCCAGGACAGATGTCAAACATTTTGCATGCAGTTTCAGGGGCTTCTTACTCCCATCCCCAAGGTCACTGTGAACTTGCTAAGGCAGTGCTGTCCAACAGAAATATAGTGTAAAAAAAAAAAGAAATATAATGTGAGCCACATTTATAATTTAAAAATTTTTAGTAACCTCTTAAAAAAGTAAAAAGAAACAAGAAAAATTTTAATAATACATTATATTTAACTCAGTTTATTTAACCCAGTATACCCACAATATTATCATTTAAATAACATTAAAATCTTTGAGATTTTTAAATATTCTTTTTTTGTACCTAGTCTTCAAAATCCAGTGTATGTTTTGAACTTATAGCACATCTCAGTTCGTATTAGCGACATTTCAGGTTATTGGTGGCACATGTGGCTCTTGGCTACCATATCAGACAACACAGCTCTATGGTCATTTCTTAAAGTGTGGTGTCCAGACCACCTGCATCTTCTGGTTAAAAGTACAGAATCCTGGACTCCAACCTCAGAGATTCCAATTCAGCAAGTCAGCATTGTGTCCAGCACCCCAACATGATTTTTTACACCCTTAAGTTTGAGAATCAAATTTAATGTTATCAAATGATGTAGGTACTTGAAATGTTTTTAAATCCATTCTTCTTCTGCCATCTTCTGTTGAAGGAGTTAATGAAAAGTAAAATCCTGAGATGTGCCAGGAGAAGAAAAGCAGAAGGAAGGAAGAAGAGAAGACAAAAAGGGAAATGAGCCCCTTTAATCACAAAACTATGTAGGAGTGTAATATGCGTGAAGTGGTATAATAATGCAGAACTATGGGAAAGAATGACAAGACACAGCTGCTCAATAAACGATGAAAAACCTAGCAGTCAAACTTTTTACCCTAGGTATTGACCTCTCTCAACCATCAGTACTGTTCTAGGGTGTGATAGCTTAGGAGTGAATACAATCTGAACTTAATGTATCTTTAGAAGGGGTCTAAAATTCAGAACCAGGCAGACCCATCTCTTCTGACCTTAAATATAGTCCTAAAGTCCATTGCTTTAGGAAACTGGATCCCAAAGGTTACAGGTGGAGGATTTTTGAAGTGTGTCCATATTCCACTGGAGATCAAAGAAGCCCAGCTGAAAGAATTGTGGCAAGACCAACTGACATGACAACTGTGGACTGAGCAAAAATTCTTTTTGTAAGGGCTTTCTGAAAGATTATGACTCAAACATTGGGAGACAGAAGGTGATGGACGGTGGAAGGAATCAGAACATGTGAAATATTTAGCCTATATATCATATAATTTTAAAAAAAAGCCCTTACATTTAAAAAAAAAAAAAGAGGGGAGGATGGGAGAGAAGCAGCAGCCATTCTGGCCTAGATAATTAGCAATCAGAACCACCCGACGCTCGGGAGCTGGGAGAGGATTGTGTCCTTGGGTAATAGGTGGTATTCCTGTTCCACAGCGTGGTAATCCCACTCAGGCAAGGCAGTGGGAGGTGAGCGGGGAAGAGAAACGCTTTACTCCTGTAACAGCTCTCAGGGACAGGTGAGACTGACCTTGGGCTCAGAGAGGATGAGGAACTGGGAGACCATGGGGCAGTCAGAGAAGACGAAACATTGAGCTGTGGTCTGTTGGCTAAGTCCAGGCCACAGAGCAGGGCCTGGCTTGGGGAATTTCCATGGTCAGAGAGCAGGTTACAGTGCATTCACATTCAAACAGGTTCGCTGGGAGGCTGAATTGCAAAATGGCAGGGGGTGGTGTTTCCTGGTAGACAGAATACGGCAGTCACGGCAGTCACGGCAGTCGCGGGCTGGAGGAATGCCCTCCCACCCCCCCACCCCGCCCAGGCACCAGCACAGCCCTGGAGAGAGCAGATTTTGCTTATCTTTTATTTTGTGTGTGTGGTGGCGGGGCGAAGGGTGGGAGGAGGCAGGTAATTAGGTCTATTTATTTATTTACTTTAAGAGGAAGTGCTAGGGATTCAACCCAGGACCTCATGCATGCTGAGCTATACCCCCCTCCCTCAGGTTTTGCTTTATCTGCTCCCCAACTTTGTGGTTAGTGATGTCAGGTCAGTAGCTTAAAATCAGCCATAGTGGGAGTAGGTACACCATGGAAATGCAGTATATCCTCAAATGCTTTTTTTTCCCCTCTTTTCTTTTCCTTCCTTTTCTTTTCTCTTCTTTTTTCTTTCTTCCTCCCTCCCTCCCTCTCTTTCTTTCCTTTTTTTCTTTTTTCGAGGATCAACTGCAAACACACCACTGGGAAAGGTCCTACCCACCAGAAGAGAAGCTCCCAATAGAAAAGGAAAACAAGCAAACTCAAGTCATCTATCCTTTGCACACAGAAAGGAAAGTAAATTTTTAAAAAATAAAGACATTATAGTAATCATTTTAAAAACTAAGAAAGAACTTTGCTTCCCTAGGAAAGCAGGTAAATAAGATGAGGGCAACCTTCACCTTTGGGGTGAAAATGAGAAAAAAAATAGCCAGGAAAAAGAATGTGATCTCAAGTATTAGGGCTAGAAGAGACACCAGTGTATGTATGTGTGTGTGTGTGTGTGTGTGTGTGTGTGAGAGAGAGAGAGAGAGAGAGGGACTGAGAGAAAGAGTCTTGCCCAGGGCCACCTGTCAAGTTAAGCAGCACATTCAAACTTGTGGCTCTAAAAGGTTACCTCCCAAATGTAGTGGGTTTGAATCATTTACCTCTCCCCTCCCTCTGCTTCTACCTTCTAGATTCCCTAGATTTGAAATGGCTATCCCAGCATCAGGATCGTTTCTGGGAAAGGTAACGGATGCCAAAAGTCTTGGGTCTCTGAAAGAGAAAGCCTCCCTCAGACCTTCATCCATAGCGGTGGAAAGTTACAGAGCAAATGAACCCAGCAAGGGAATCTTTGGAGTTTTACCTGCTGTGTTTCTGAGGATTTTCATTCAGCTTTGGTCTGAAAGCTGATATTCAGCGAGTAAGCCCCAGCCATCAAAATTCCCATCTCCTTTTCCTACCATGAGACTCCAGCTATGCCTGGGGACATATTAGATATGTAGCTCAAATCATCCTGGATTAAATGAAAGGAAGAAGGCTCTCTGCTTGGGGCACACAGATCAAATTCCCATGGGACATAGCTGTTTTTGTAGCCATAAGAAAAATAAAGTCACCAGCAATCTTTACTATGGCAGATACAATTAACAAAGTGCTTTGCACATAATGTATGAAATCATCAATTTAATATTACTAAGGTCAGTATTACTATGTTCTTCCTTTTGCACCAGAGGATGTTTGCTCAGAGAGGTTAAGTAACTGGCTTTGAACCCAAGGACTTGGATGGCCTGCATCATGCTCGCCCAGGGAACACCTCACCCACGCCTGCTACCCTGTGCCCATTCACAGGAAGCCTTACCTGTAATTCTCCCCAGCTGGCCATCGTACATCTTTCCAACAAACCCAGCTATGTGGGCACCTAGACTTACTCCAATCATGTAAATGTCATCAAGAGAAGCTTCTCCTGCCTGGAATTTCAAGAGGTCCGTCAGTATAAATTGTGACAGCCTGGGGAGTTGACAACATTTAGAGAAATTTCCTAACTGTTGACTTTGGGGAAACATTTCTAAGCACCTTATATCCATTATCTTATGGAAATGTCACAACAGCCCCACAAATTAAGTGATGTTTTTTTGATTATGCAGAGGAGGAAACTGAGCCCAGGGTTGAAGTCATCTGCCAAGGTCAGGCAGTTGGGGAGGGGACAAGGCAGGATTCAAACCAGTCGGTCCAGCTCCAAACCTGTGCCTTAACCTTTATGCCATGGTGTCTCCATTCACTCTTCTGCTAGAATCCAAGCCAAGAAGACATCTTTAAGACCTTCCCAATTGAGGAGAAGGGCAACAAAACATTTTGATGAACTCCTTCATCTTCATGCTGGCTCAGTTAACGAGGAAAGGAAAGAAGGAAAAGGGGAGGAGCTGACTGCTAAGAAAGGTGGTTATGAATAATTTTATTTATTAATTTTTAAATTTAAGTTTAAATTTTTAAGTTTTTACCTAATGTTCGTTCTTTTTTCTTTTTCTTTCTTTCTTTCTTTCTTTCTTTCTTTCTTTCTTTCTTTCCTTCCTTCTTTCTTTCTTTCTTTCTTTCTCTTTCTCTCTCTCTTATTTATTTATTTATTTATTTATTTATTCATTCATTCATTTATATTTAATGAGTCATTTTAATACTCACTTTCCCAAGAGCTGTGGCTTCGATGGGCAGCTCATGTAAAATTTATGTCACCCCTGGCTACCAGATGTAATTCTCTGAAATAGTCCTGATACCAAGTCATTTTTTCTTTCATAAAAGGGGAAATTCATGAGATAGATTACTAAATTAACTTTAAGATTTATTTCATCTTTGTAAGTCTCTTCTGAAAAGATAAATCATACCCACACACAAATCTTTCATAAGACCATGTGTATCAGTTTTGGTTTTGGATAATCTGGTCACTAACCTTTTGGCATTTCTAAGAAAAGGAGGAGCTATAGAAGTTGAGGGAACTCTAGGCATTGAAGTCAGGAAACCCCTAGACAGACCCTCTCCTACCCATAAGATATCTTTATGTGAGTTAGAAAATGATGCCCCTTCTTCAGGACACTCTGCCATCATTCACTAGAAAATTATATATATATAAATCCACAATGTCTACAGTGACAATGGTGCTCTTAGATGGGTGCCCTGTGCAGTGCACAACCTGCACAACCATACCTATGGGGCTTAAATCCAGGTCTTCCCTTCACCTTTCCTGAGGCCTTTTCAGATTTGCAAAATAGTCCTCCTATTCACTGTAGATATCTCTTGGCTTCAAATATCCAGATAATGAGCCAGTTTCAACTTGGCCTAGAATTATCTAAAAGAATTCTCCCTTACCAGCATTTGGTCGATAAATTCCTTCAAGACTATTGCTACTTTTCTGGTCTTATTAGAGGCATGGTTGTATATTACAGTCGTTGCTCCTCGATTCCAATCAACGACAACCACGTTCATGTCTTCTACAGAGAGCAAACCCTCTACTAAGTCCCCTATCCAAACTGGAGGGGAACCTGTTGGCCTGAATCCATGGACAATGAAGGTCGTTTTCTTGGTCACGTTCAAGTTCCCCAAAGCTGTGGAGTTGATGGCTTGTGCACAGGTCGGGTTTCTCCTTGTGTAGAGCATCAACTTCACATTTAGTCCTGTGCCAACCACTGCACTGTGAAAGCTCAGTTTGGTGAATGAAGGACATTCTTCATCTGTGTCTGAAAATAAAAGTTAGAGGACATTGTGAGGGTTCTTTCCTGAGCTGGGCATTAAGCAAGAGTGATATCCTGGTCATACAACTCAATTAAAAAACAAACAAACAAACCCCAATCCAAAAATGGGCAGAAGACCTAAACAGACATTTCTCCATTGAAGATATACAGACGGCCAATAGGCACCTGAAAAGATGCCCAATATCGCTAGTTATCAGAGAACTGCAAATCAAAACTGCAATGAGGTATCACTTCATACCAGTCAGAATGGCCATCATCAAACAGTCCACAAACAATAAATGCTGGAGAGGGTGTGGAGAAAAGGGGAACCCTCCTACAGTGTTAGTAGGAATTAGTTAGTGGTGCAGCCACTATGAAAAACAGTATGGAGACTCCTTATAAAACTAAAAACAGAGTTATCATATGATCCAGCAGTACCACTCCTGGGCATATTTCCAGAGAAAACTCCAATTTGAAAAGATACATGCACCCCAGTGTTCATAGCAGCACTATTTACAATAGCCAAGACAGGGAAGCAACCTAACTGTCCATCAACAGATGACTGGATAAAGAAATGTGGCATATGTATACAATGGAATACTACTCAGCTATGAAAAAGAATAAAATCATGCCATTTGTAGTAACATGGATGGACCTAGAGATTATCATACTAGGTGAAGTAAGGCAGGCAGAAAAAGACAAATACCATATGATACCACTTATATGTGGAATCTAAAAAAAAAATGACACAAATGAACTTATTTACAAAATAGGAACAGACTCACAGACATAGAAAACAAATTTGTGGCTACCAAAGGGAGAAGTGGGAGGAGGGATAAATTGGGAGTTTGAGATTTGCGGACACTCACTATTATATATAAAATAGATAAACAAGGTCCTACTGTATCGTACAAGGAACTGCATTAAACAGCTTATAATAACCTATAATGAAAAGAATATGAAAAAGAATATAGATACATGTATGACTGAATCACCATACTGCACACTAGAAACTAACACAACATTGTAAATCAACTACAATTTAAAAGGGCTGGGGGGAACGGGAGGAGAAGCAAATGGGCAAAGAGAAAAAAAAAAAAGGAGTACTGTCCTACACCAATTGGAGTTCTTTCTATGTGCCTTACAGCACCTAGCAAGAGGCTGGATCTAGTTGAAAGAAGTTGCAAAGTCATACCTGATTCAGAGTTCATAAGTAGTGACATCTTTTTCACCAAGAAAACCATTTTTTCCAAATCCTACCCTCTTTCAAGTTCTAAACTAAAAGTCACCTCAATGAATCCTTCTCCAACTCTAATAACCATAAATACTGTCTATTCTTCAACCCAGAACTCCCCAAACTGCACTTAATTGACAGTACAATGAAAACACTTTCAGGGATGTATTATGGGTATTTATGTACATGTGTGTCTATCCCGCTAGACCACAGTCTACTTGAAATGATGTCTTATAATCTTGTGTATCCCTCACAGTGCCCAGCATATGGTAGAGGACTCAATAATAAATCTACCTGGTTCAAGCACTTCTTTCTTTGTCTGCAGAGCCCACCTGGGGTGGCGGTGGAAAGAATGATGTGAATTGCTCCATGCCTTTCAGAACATCTGAAACTGTTAACCATGGTGGCCTTTCTTGGACCCTATCCTTCTTTGCTCAAGCATCACCTTTAAGCATTCATCCTTCTGAATAAGTTCTAAGAATGGCCTTAGAAGAAAGGTTGGGGATGTGAGAGGAACAACTTAAGATGAGCCTGTGCATCTTGTTATGGCAGAAATTAAGAGAGAGTGTTTCAAAACATGTCCCAAGGACTTAGGAGCCAGCTTGATATGGCTTCCACTGACAGATCTGGAATAATTTGAGGACAAAATAGTTAAGGACAGTAATGAATTATAGGCCTTTGAAAAACATTGGGAATCCATGATTCCATAACAAATAAATACATAAATAAACAAAGAAACAATACATACATGGAGAAGAGAGGAGGACTCTTTCTTACAACATAATGCTGAATGCAAACTGATAAATGAGGAGTGAATACTGGAGTTGAAACTTCATTTTGCAACCATCATAATAAGGATTGTTTAGGTAAGAATTGTCAGTGGATGCTAAATCGAGGTTGGAATGGGGATGTGGATCTTGAGGAGAAACATAATATTTGTATGGTTTTAAAGTGTCTCCCACAGATTGTTTATTAGTGATTAGGGGAAAAAATAGTAACTATAAGATGGAGAAATTGAACAACACCTTGACTAGGTTATCAAACTTGACATCACCAATGAGGAGCAGATGGACATCACATGCCTATAGCTGTAACACACTGAGGACACAGCATCCCCTGTGTAGTGTTCCGGGGGGAACGCATAGCCAGACTCTAACCAGGGGGGAAAATCAGACAAAAATAAAATGAGGAGTATTCTTTTTTTTTTTTTAAAAAAGAACCTGTGTTCTTAAAAGAAAGGTCAATGTCATAAATGACAAAGAAGGGCCATATAAATGTTCTAGATTAAAGGAGATTAAGGAGACAGCATAAATATAGGCAATCTCTGGTCTCAGATTGGATTCTATAATGGGAAAAAAATGCTATAAAATAAATTATTGGCTCAATTGACAAAATTGGCATATGGACACTAAATTAAATGGAAAGTATAGTATCAGTGTTAAATTAACTGAGGTTGATAACTGTACCATGGTTATATAAGAGAAAATCCTGATTCTCAGGAAATACAACTGAAGTATTTATAAGTAAATGCCAAATGTATTCTCAAGTGGTTCAGAAAAAAATATGGGATGGATAAATAGATAGGAAATGATAAAGCATATGTAACAAAATGTTAATAGGTAAATCTGTAAAGGGTTATTGGTGTTCTGTGTCTGTTTTTTCAAATTCCTGCAGCTTTCCTGCAAGTTTAAAATTCTTTCCAAATAAAAAGCTTAAATAAAAAGGAAGAAGAAAGGGCACAGGGCCATATCAGTGATTTACAAAACAGGAGGGAGGTGGAGGGTTTTGATATCAGAAAACAAAAGTAGATAGGCAGGCTGAGGCTTCTGCTAGACAGGGAAGAGGGAGCTGGAAATAAACTGAAGGTCAAGTTACAAGATGAAAGAGGAAGTAGGGAAGAAGGAGGGCTTTGGAGCTCTTGGGTACTAAGACAGAGTGTTAATTTTTGCAACATTATCTAAGGCCTTGATGAAGAACCATCATCGAATACAAGTTAAAAGTAAACCTTCGATTGACATTGGTATCCAGACACAATAATAAAATGATTGGGAAAACTATTTTTTTTAATTATAATAATTATTTAAAACTGTGGTGTGACTCACTCTCCCACCTCCTGCTAGAGAGAGAAGAGCCAGGTAGGAGGTGAACTGGAGGAACAGACAAGCCCCAGCTCCAAGCTGGAGATGGTCCTTCAAGGTATTCAGGAGAGGGGCAAGACCTTCCAGATGATCATTCTTCAGCAGAGGGAACAGAAGGGGAAGACAGTTGACCTGCAACTGGCCAAAAGGACACAAATGTGCCCTGGGAAACACTGTCCTGACTTCTTCCACTAAGAAAGCAGGACCCATTTATTTGCCCTGGGCCCCTGTTCTCAATGACTCTGCACTTGCACACCCAGGAATTTCTCCTCCCTTATTCTGAGCCGCAGAGTGGCCTTAAGCCTGGGGTCTCTATCCTTCCTTAATAACCGGGACCCTTTCATGTATGCTTTTATTTGAAACTTCTTGCAGAGGCTCTGGTACTCAGGAGTGAGTGAACTTCCAAAACAGAATGAGCCAAAGAAGCCCAAAGAAGTTAAAAATTAAGGAGGCTTTGAAATCCCTCACTCTAGAAAAGACGTGGTTAAAAATTGAGCCCCAAACTCACACATTCCTCCTTTTACTCTATACTGTCTGGTAGCTTGTGCAGTAAGGCATGCTCACAATGTAAAATTGTCTTTTTCTTTTTCCCCCAGCTTTATTGAGATATAATTGACAAATAACCTTGTGTGAGTTTAAGGTGTACAACATGATTTCTTAATACATGTATGTAGTAAGAAATGATTACCCCAATAAGGTTATTTAACACATCCATCACCTCACATTGTTACCTCTTGTGTGTATGTGTGTGTGTGTGTGTCCATGTGTGTGAGATGAGAACATTTAAGATCTAATCTCTTAGCAAATTTCAAATATCCAATACCATATTGTTAACTATAGTCACCATTCTGTGCACTAGACGCCCAGAACTTATTCATCTATGTAAACATTTTTTCCACCTGTTGGCCCCTTTTATTTTTCTCTTCCTGTGGATCACTGCTCTCTCAGAACATGGACTGAAACCGATCTGGTGCTTGTAGAGCAAGTCCCAGAGTAAATAATTGACTGTTCAATTACTCATTTTATTGAGCAGGTGGAGTCATGGGGTAGGGCTGAGCCTCTGGGTCTTAGCCATCAGTAAAGCTGGGTTTTGTTCCTGGTTGTGACTGACTCACCAGGTGGCCTGGAGAAATTGTGTCATCTTTCACTTGCCACCTACCTGCCCAAGAGAGGAATGTGGCAGAGATTAATTGTGAATGAGGCCCTTTCCAAAGAAGGGGACTGTTTAATTAATGTTTGTTCATTTTGAGCCAAATGAGAAATATTAGGTCAATGTGCCACACATATCTGAGTCCTTGGAAGACTCAGGGAGGTGTCCTGAAGTGTGGAGTCAGAGCTATTTTTCAGCAGAAACTGCCGACTTTAACATCTATGGAATGGTTCAACCAAGCTTTTTGACTTGCTGAGTTTTTACCAGGAGCCCTCAAAATTGACAGTTACTGAAAAGCAAGAAGGACAGAACAAATGGATTTTTATTTTTCATTTGATGAAACCACCCTGACTTCAAGTATTTTTAAATGTCTTAGTTATTTTTATAATGGCATTATGCTCTGGAAAAGGCCGTTGCTTTTGCTGTGTGGATTGTCCCTGTCTCTCTTTTCTTTGGGTTTTTTGTTTTTGTTTTTTTGTCCCATTTATGTATCTTTCTCATACTGGGAAGTTTACAGCCTGCTTTAGTTTTCCTGGTGTTGACTTTTATATTTTATTTAATTTTATTTTTTATTTATTGTGGGGTAGGGGGAAGTAATTAGGTTTATTTATTAAAATGGAGGTACTGGGGATCGAACCCAGGACCTCGTGCATATTAAGCACGCGCTCTACCACTGAACTGTACCCTCCCCTACCCCCTTATAACTTTAGTTGAAATACTTAAATAAGTGTAGGCTGTAGGTCAGAAGGAGACTACATGCAGAACTGCTCTGGACTTAGGTATATTTATTTAGATTTAATTTTCCTCCAATGTGAACTCCTGATAAGGAGTTTTGGGCATCTGGAAACTGTATTTCAGACTACTGTGTATGTTTAACTTCTGCCTGCTACTGACCTTTGTCAGAACAGCTGTCTTTCCCTACTCTGCTCCCATTCTTGCTTTGATAACTCAAGACGATGTCTAATGACCCTCCATTATAAATGATGAGGGTGTTAGCACACTCAGTACTTCTCCCTACTGACCCAGTGTCTACCTCCTGATTTTTATTCATTATAAAATTACTTTTAGTTCATCTGGTGATTCCTTTTTCGGTTTAAAAATAAGTATTTAAGCTTTTATGTACTGGTGCATCAGTCACAGAGTTTCTGTTCTATTTACTGTATCTGTTCTAGCTCCTCATTCCCAACCAAGAAAAATGAGAAAGTTATCACACTTACAGTGCCCCTTATACCCTCCTTGACCCCTCCTTCAGAACACACACATACATACACTCACACAAACACACACACAGATGTGTTTTCATTGTCAAAATACAGCCAATCCTCATTATTTGTAGATTTTGTACTTCTGAAATCACCTACCCGTTAAAATTTATTTGTAACCCCCCAAATCAAGCATTTGTCACCTCCGGCTCTGCAGCCTGGTAGTTTGGCTGTGCCTTATCCAGGGGCATCCACTTCACTGCATAGGATGGAGGGCCCCGTTTCTCCTTTTCCCTTCAGTGATTTCTCTCCTGCCTCCTCCTCCCTGGTGGCAGATAGACCCTCCCCCTTGGGGAGAGGTCAGCAGGAGACCTCTAGTTTACATTAGGAGAAAATGATTTGGCCTCCGCTTTCTCAAATCCAACTATGCCAACAATAAAGCTGATACTTTGAGCCCTGTGTCAATTTCTCAATTGGTTGAAACTCAAGAGGGAAGAGTAGTGTGATTGCCACTCAGACTACAGCAGCAGACTGGAAATCCCTTGAGGGCAGAAACTGTTTCTTATTTTTAGTAAATTAAAAAAATTGCATAGTATTTAACACATGTAAAAGAAGAATGCAAAATATCTATAAAAGATAAAACACAGTAATAAACACTCTAAGTACCAAAAAAACTAAATGTGTTTGAACCCTTCACATCAACACGTGAGGGGCTTCTGCAGTCATTCACACACACATAGTCACATGCAGAGCGGCAAAAAACAACTGAGTTGCCCCACACACCACTCACAGCTGAGGTTAAACAGAGCAACGCTCCGCCTTCTGGTTTCAGTTCTCATAACAAATGTCCTTTTCCCGGCCTATTCACTGCCATGTTTTTTGCTTCTTGTGCCTTTTCTTGGTGATTTCACTCTTTAAAATCCCCCAAACATAGTCCTGGAGTGCTGGCTGGTGTTTCTAAACTGAAGAAGGCTGTGATGTACCATACAGAGAAAATGCAAGTATTAGATAAATTTTGTTTAAGTATGAGTTATAGTGCTGGCCATGAGTTCAATGTTGATGAATCAACAATATATATAAACTAAGGTATCTTTAAACAGAAACACACACAAAATAAGATTACATATTGATTGGTCAACAAAAATGTAACCAGAGCCCACCAGAATCTAGCCCTGTATTTCCCCAGGAGCAGTGGTTCATGAGCTGCTACTTCAGTGTTTGTAGTGACTTTATGGAACATGAAGTACCACAGATAATAAGGGTGAAGTGTGTATAAAATTACCTTCTGGAGCCGTATTTCCCTGGTTATATAGTTTTAGTTCTATCACGTACGAGGTCACTGCTCACAGTGAGTCCTTTTCTAGGGTTCTCCATTCCCCCTGTGATGACTGGATCTTGCTGCCTTTTTAAGAAGGGTGGGGAAGCTATAGCTCAAATGGTAGAGCACATGCTGAGCATGCGCAAGACCCTGGGTTCAATCCCCCGTACCTCCATTAAAATGATTAAATCAATAGACCACATTATCTTCAGGCCCTTCCCCCCAAAACAACAACAAAAAAAAGGCTACTGGATAATATAGTTCCTAAGTGCATTCATATCCGTAAATGAATACGTTGGCCCAACTGCAAATGAATTCCTTGGGTATTCTTTCCCCCGGATTTATAGGCATAATCTACTTCCTTCCTATATTGAATTCCACTCCTGAGAACTTTTCCCCTTAAATGTTACTTGCTTTTTTGCTACCACAAACCTGAAGCATTCTTTCCTTATTCTGAAATTACTTCCCCACTAGCATAGAAGCTCCAAGATAACTGATCTATTTGTCTGTTCATCCATTCTTGTATTCCCAGTGCCAAGAAAAGGGCCTGGCTCAGAGTTGGCTTCAGTAAATGTTTCCAGAATAAATGAATATCAACCTGTTAACACATTATTCAGCCATTCAGAATGATCCACATAAATACTATAAAGAGTGTATGATGGAATGTTTATAAAATAAATGAAGTGTGAAATGGTACATGCATTCTTACTGAAACTATGGAAAAATATGCCTGCAGGTGACAAGGCCTGGAAAACAATATGCAGACAGAAATGGGTCACACTGCCATTTCCAGTGTTCTTTGTTTAAAATTGCCTCAGGTTATTAACCCTTTTCCCCTCAGAATTAATAACATCTTAAAAAGAAAACATTTACATTTATCTTATTTTGGACCATATGACAAATTAGTTTAAGCTCCTTGAGGGCAGGCATTGTGTTATTATTTTTAGTTTAGCATTGTGTCCCTTGCACCAAGCGCAGAAATTTTCTTATCATTGGGCCCAAAATTCTGAGGCAATTTGGAGAACATGCAAGGACTGGATATATATGGGGGGGTTTTTGTTTTTGTTTTGTTGTTTTATTTTGTATTTTTATTGAAGTATGGTCAGTTTACAATGTTGTGTCACTTTCTGATAATACTTCAGTCATACAGGAACATATGTATATTTGTTTTCATATTCTTTTTCACCATAAAGAGTGGATATATGTGAAGAGCAAATGTGTTAAGCTGCTTCACCCTCATAAATATAGTTCTTTAAACTTTTTTTATTTTTCAGGGGGAGGTAATTAGGTTTATTTATTTATTTGGTTTTTTCAATGGAGGTACCAGGGATTGAACCCATGACCTCCATGCGCTCTACCACTTGAGCTATACCCTCCCCCTCTAGTTCTTTAAACTTTATGTTGTACTTTAGAAACACATTATATTATTTCTAAAATGATTAACTACTTACTATATATGCCTTCAGAAAGCAAACCTCTTGTTCATCGTTTCATTGTTTTGTTATAAAGTCAAGTTTGCTCAGAGGTAGTATTAACAGAACTCAACTGAGAAACACAGAACATGTTAAACTGGTTTTTAAAGCTTACCCTCTTTTGTTAGAGTTTATTTGAAACAGGAGAAACTCTGCCTTTCCTCTTTGGACTAGTTTGAAATTCAGTCACTCTGAAATGCCATTACCTGTTTACAATTGGAAAATTACAATTGGATGGATGATGTCTCCTATCCAGTGAGGAATTCAGACTCCTACATAGAGCAGGCCTGATTATCATTCACTGCCTTCCCTCTGTTAAACTAAAAGAAACATATCCAAGTAGGATGTCAGGGAAGTCAGACTATAACATCTTCAGAGATAACATATTTATGCCGGAGATATTTTGTTATGATCCAATTCATGACTGCCCACAGGCCTAACCTGTCCACGTCCATTAGAGTATTGTCTATAGGTGTTTTCCTGCTATAAAGCAAAGTTGAGCTGTTTAACAGTGACCCTTGGCCCACAAAGCTGAAAATATTTACCATCTGGCTCTCTACAGAAAAAGCTTGCCAATCTTGGTCTAATGTCTTAAAAACACAACACGATTTTGGAAAGAGCATGGGTTTTGAAGACAGACCTATGTTTGAGGTCCAGCTCCATTGCCCACTAGCTATGTGACCTCTGGTAATTAATTACCTAACTTCTCTGGGCCTCAGTTTTGCATGTGTAGTATGATCATAATAATGCAAATCTGTCAAACAGTGCTTTGCAGAACCATATTGAGCCCAAGGCAAGAGAAAAAAACACACCATATAAATATAAATATATATATATATATTTATCAAATACATATGTATAAATTTATCAAAATATCCTCCCATATTTTCAGCCAAGTGAAACATAGCCTTTCATTATTTAGTCTGTTCATACACCATTGTCAACTTTTATAAACCAGCTAACAAGGAAGTGAGTTGGCATGGGCCCGGGCAGATTGGAATGCTGGCAGATTGGAAATGATTTTTCCTATTGTACAATAGCACAGAGTCATAAGACAAGCAATCATCTATCTTATTAAAATTCTTAATGTTTTATTCATTATAGATTTACCTTGATTTTGATCTTTAAAAATATTACATCAAAATATCATTTATGCATTATAATATGCATTATTAATTTATGCATACTACTGTTAGCATTAAATATTAAATGATAGTAAATATTATTTAGATATTAATATCATTTAAATGTTGCATTAAAATATCATAAAAATTAAAAATTTTAAATTGCTTTAAAAGTCATAAATAAATATAATTTATCTTGGTTATTCTTTGGATGTTCCTTCCACCTTTAAACTGCACCTGGTGGGTGCCTCAGTTGCCTCATCCTGATCCCAGCCCTGCTGTCAAGACTGTTGTAAGAATGAGAGATAATGTCTGTGGAGTAAATAAAGCATTACATGGTACATACTGGATGCCAAAATTTGTAATTGTTGATGGTAAGTTGGGTTAATAGTATTGCTTTCATAAGGTTGTTATGAAGACTAAATAACTTAATGTGGGATTTGATATAAACAGTTGTTAAATAATTTAAATAAATTCCTTCCTTGAAATGTTACGGAAATGACAGGCCAGCCAAGAAACAAGCACCACTCGGAGGGTTGGAGTACTCAGATTTATTACACCAGCGGGCTTAGAGGGGCTTTTGCTCTGAAGCTCTGAGCACCTCCAAGACGTGTGCATGAGGTTTTATAGGGTTAATTACAAGCTTGGGATATTCGGCCAATAGGCATGGAACAGCTTTAGCAGCATCATTATCACAAAAGTAGAAGCAGGGAGGCAGCAAACCAACATTTCAAGGCCAGATATGTCTCTCTGAAAATCTAGCTGGCTAGCAAAAAAAACATAAGCAGAGAATCAGCAAACCGACACTTAGTAACTTAGATTTATGAGTTAGCCCAGCAGAACTCAGATCAGTAACCCAACACTTGTTGCACTTAGATTTGCGAGTAGGCCCAGCCCGGCTTTTCCTTCACACCATCAGTTTAGTTTTCTTAATCCAAACAAGGATTTTGGAAAAGGGAAGCTTTATTAGCCAGTGCACAGGTGATAGTGCTTCTCACCAACCAGAGAACTGGGTTTGTTTCTGGCTCTGTCATTAACAAGGTAAAACAAATAACCTATTTGGGCCATCATTTTTCTCATATGAAAATGAGAGTTTGGTTCCTCATTCCTTAGCCACTTCACTAACCCTCACATTCCTTTTGGACACAAAATTCTAAGATCTGCAAACTACTAATTTGAAAGGACAAGAGATCTACTTAGGAGAACAAATTTCCAAGGCTTTCTAACTAACCAAACGCAACCCTAATCTAAAAATATTAATGTATCAAGGCATTAAACTTTCTTTTAATTTTAATTAGAAGACCTGAAAATAATCATACTTTATTCTTGTAATTAGAATGTTGATCAGATAGGTGTCTTGTCACCTTTATATCAAGCAGTGTTTTTTAGCTAACTGGATACATTTTAGTTAACAAACATGGTTCCACATTCTACAATAAGGATGCATCTTGAAAACATTACAATAAGTGAAAGACTTGTCACAAAAGACCACACATCCTATGACACTATTCATATGCAATGTCCAGAACAGGGAAGTCAATAGAAACAGGAAGTAGAATAGTGGTTGCTTATGGCTGGGGGATGGGAGGAGATGAAGTGACAGGGTGAGATAGTTAAAGGGTACTGGGTCCTTTCTGAGGTTATGAAAGTGTTCTGAAGTTGGCTGGTGATAGTTGCACTTTTCTGTGAATATATTAAAACACACTGAATTGTATACTTTAAATGGGTGAATTATATGGTATGTGAGTTGTATCTCAATAAGACTGTTTTTAAATAATGGCTCCAGTAATTTCACACTTTCATGGAAAGAGTGGAAAAAACGACAAAAGTGTTTTGGAAGTGACTGGGCAGAAGTTTTACTTTTTCTGTCAAAATCAAAACCCCAATTTTCCAACTTGCTTTCTTTCCCCTTGGAACCTGAGGCTGATGGACCTCCATTGTCTACCACTGCAGGTTAACTAAAGCCCCCGCTTTGGTCAGTCTGTGTTGGGGGTTGGGGAGGGATTATAGTTGTTCCTGTGCAGAATAAATTACCCTTATTCTCAGGCTTAGGGATCACATAAGCTGTTGTTTGCTTTACCTTTACGACAGAAAATTGGGTTGGCTAGACAAAATGCCCTCTTGGTTGGAAGGATGTCTCTCACTTTTATCCACCAGCTATAGGCTACAATCAAGAAAACAGGGAGATATCTGTTTCCGATCACTGACCTTTCTCCCCTTCTGATGAAATTTCCAAGGGATCCTTTTACTCCGTATTCAGAAGACACACTGCCCTGAAGCTAAATAAAGCTGCCCATGCTGTCTTGGTGTCATACTTAGTTCTGGCTTTTTAGCTTCTACTTGCTTTTGGAGGAACTGATTTCAGCCTCCACACCTCTGATTGGGGGAAAACTTCTACAGAGAGAGGAAACTCCTTATTCACATCCAAAGAGGTGACTGTGAAAAGAGAAAATAGAATTGTAGATGAAGCAATTGTGAGTGTGGTAAAGAGGGGAGAAATTTCTGAGATTCTGTGAGAGTCAATAAGCAAATGTTGAGGGGTGGGTATAGCTCAGTGGTACAGTGCAGTGCTTAACATGCACAAGGTTGTGGGTTAATCCCCAGTACCTCTGTTAAAATAAAAAAATTTTTTTAAATAAACAAAGGTGAACCTCTCAATATGGCCAAGTCAGGTGATTAAAAATGAAAGTATCAGTTTTTCTCAGACCTGTGGTTGGTGAAGTTTAGTCCACTAACCTCCAAACCCCAGTGACAGTGGCGACATTCCGCTTAATTTAACTTTGATGAACCGTATCCAGTCAGGAAGTAAAACAGGCAGGGCCCTGACTCACACTTTTTTTATGTCAAGTTCTGGGTTCCAAGGTGTACCCACCTCCAACATGACACAAATGTGTATGAATAACTTTGTCAAGGCTGCCTCAAAATATTTACTGAGGCTCAGACCTAGATTAAGGGATACATTGTTGAGTATTTTGCAGGCTGGGCAGTGGATGCTGGTCAGTGTCCAGGTCACAGCTCACCACGTGTTAACTGATGAGGCCTGGAGCTTTCCAGAAACCCAGACTTGAGCACACTCCTAGGTTTGCTCTGAAGGAACTTCCTAAAGTCCCAGAAATAAAAATTTCTTTAGCTCAGAAACTTTGATTTGAAAAGATTAGAAAATGAGTTAGACTCCTACTTTGAAGACAGAAGTAGAAAGGAAAGGTGACATGTCCCTACAATGAAATTCTATTGATTTTTTTTAAATCGGAAAAAGTAACTCAGTTTATATTTTTTTATGCAGAGGACCGCCCTGAATTTGGCACTGAAAATTCGTCCTGAGCCAGATTGTGTTGAGTTCACAGCTGGCCAGGGCCAAAAATGGTGGAATAGCCTTGTTTCTCTTTCACCCGGGGCAGACAGGCAGAAGCATACGGGCAAGATGCCGTCTTGGTTGGAAGGACATCCCTGCTTTTAACCACCAGCTTGTATTTCTTTAGGCTATAACCGAGAAAACAAATGGGATGCCAGATTTCCTCACTCTCATCTCTTAATCATGTGCACAAATACGCACATTTACACCCCACCTTCTCACTCACCTTTGTCCCCTGTGTATTGGAGAAGGAGTTATACACACACAGAGTTATAAATCATCTAGGGAGGATTTCTAGTATCCAAAGAAATAATTCTCTGTTTTTGGCACTAAGCTAGCCTCTCTAGGAAAATATCTACCCCATTTTATACAAGCTGCCATAGGCCAAAATATCAACTGCAGAGTAACTTTAAAAAATACCTATGACTAGCAGCCTTAATTTAGAACAATAATTATCAGCCTGTGTTCCTTGAACCACCTACCTGCAAGCTGAAAAACCTTGAGGGTTTGTTTAAAATGCAGATTACAGGACCTCCCCCTCCAGACCCACTGAGTCTGGACTGCTGGAGAAATGAGTCTCTGCATTTTAAGCAAATTCCCGGAATGATTCTGGTCCACACTAGAGTTTGCTAGCCATTGCTTTGTACACTGTGAAGATTAGGCAAATATTCCTATTATGATTTCACAACAGTTAGAACAACAAAATAAAAATCTCTGAAAGTGAATGACGTGTGTTCTTGGGCTTTCAGAATCCCATCTTAATCAGTTGCTAATTTTGGGATTGCAAGCCAAGGAAGGGAAAAACAAAGAGTCAATGCAAATACAGTCAATAACTTCTGCATGTTCTTCAACACCCTCCCCCATTAAAGTTCTAAACTGGTGGTTTTGCAGATACTGAGAAATCTGGATTTAGCTTACAGCTTTAATTATGCTTTTTCCTTCTGGCTATTTATCGAGTTTATTGTGATGTATCTCTATCTGCTTAGGTTCTATCCTGCAGCAGTGGGTCTTACAGAATGACTTAAAACAAGACTTACTTATGAGATAAAGGCAAGTAAAAAGGCAGGTCACAAAAAAAATTAAGTTCCAACTTTGTAAACTGAGATATATAATGGGAAACTGGAAGAAAGTACTCGAAATTATCATTAGGTTTTTGTGTTTAGTTCCCACTTGCTTTAAGGTACCTCTTATTTTATTTTATTAAAAAAATTTTTAAAGTGATAATAAATACAAACTTTAAAATATTGACTTCTCAATGAAAAATATCATCACTAGTTTAATTTTAACTTAGAATTAAATCAACTCCAAAAGCACAAATTAAGAAAAATGTATTTATAAGCCTGAAATCATAATACAACTATTTTAATTTTTCCATTTGCCTTCTAAACTTTATGTACAGGCATACATACATGACTTTAGCGTAATTGTAACCTTAGTTTATCTACAAATCCGAGTTCTGCTTTTTTGATGCATTATTTTATAAACATGTTTGCATGTTTCTACATAGCTTAAGAATTATTTTAAAGGCTATATATTTCTAAAAGTTGATACATTATACCTTACCCATTCCTGTATGTAGGAACATTTCTGCTATATCTAGTTTCAACTTATTATAAATAACATAGAATCACTTTGTATATGAGGTTTTGTTTTTGTTTTTTTACAAAATATTTCTTTAGAATAAATTCCCAGCAATGGTTTTACTAGTTCAAGGGCATGTATATTTTTATGGGTCCTAATATATTAACATATTATCCTTAAAAAAAATTGTACCAATCCTCATTACCATAAACTATGTGAAAAAGTACTGAATTCCTAAAAAGGAATTGATTAATTTTTTAAAGCATTTCACTTTACTTTTGTTACCTTGCTGTGTACATTACTGTTTTAATTTTTATTTCTTCATTGTGATTAATAATTTTAAAGTTATCAACATGCCAAGCACCATTCCAAGACGTTTACAATATTAAACCATGCTTTTTATAAGAATAATGTAAATGAACCCTTGATGCATGAAAGCTAAAAAACCTACCCTCTGTTTTAGGTATTATAATAAAATTTAAAATTCCCAGAAAATAAATGATCTTAATTCAATGAGGTGGAAAGGCACAGAAAATTTAACTATGGAAGAAAAAATACTGTTCTAAATTTTTCAACATATTTAATTTTTTTTACGTCAGAAGAACCTGCTAGTTCAATGGAATAATTATTTCTTTTACTACTAAGGAAAAATCTTTTTTTTTTTCAGAATTAGTTCATTTTATCCATTTCTTCCCTCCTGAAAAATGACTGTGTGAATCTTAAAAGCCCAATGAAGGAATTTAAAAGGATAATAAAATGACAGTAATACAAATAATATTTTTTAAATAATTAAGAAAGCCATTCAATAAATGACCTACCTGATCTCACCAAGCACATCAAACTGATGAAGAAGGATAATCTCAGCATATGGAAACTGGAGACAGTGTGTGTCACATTCACCAGAAGAATGATTTCCTTCCCAGAGTCTTAGACTTTCCACTCAGCGAGAGCTCAGATAACTAATCCAGAGTGTGGTGACAACAGGAAGTTCCCGAGGGACTGCAGGCGGGTCCCAACCCTTTCAGGACATGTGACTCCTCCTCTTTTCAATAAAAGGTCAGGTACATTTCTGCCTTACACAACTTTATGCATATCTTAATATTATAATATGTCTCTGCAGAATGACGAGTTCAAAATAGCTTCATTCTTTGTGGGCGGTTTATTAGTTGTTTGGCTTGGTGTGTCGAAATCAAGTGTGATTTGAGATATTTTCCCTTCTTGTTCTTGTGAATGAAACAAACCCAGTTAGTATGCTGTTGGCATGTGTATACAAAACTACTTTTTATGTTTATTCATATACTCATTTCTCATAAAACAGTCTTTATATTTTATTAAGAACATTTTATGAAGTCCAGTCATGTACCTATATTTGTCATAATATGCTTCGAATTAAAGACAACTTTTTAACTGGTACTATCCAGAGTTCCTATCTCTCCATTTTCCTTCTCCTCCTCCTCTTTTTTTTTTTTTTTTTAAGGAAAAGTTGATGCAAAAGCTTTAGAGAACTATGCCAAATCCATCCACCTCAAGGTTGGAAGTAACTAAATTTGTGCTTCACAGCTACAAGGTAATTTAATTCTCTCTGGTGGAAGTGCTTGCAACACTCAGGCTTGTGGTGGTGGTCTGATGAGCTGAAAAATAAACTAGTAAATGAACACAGAAACAACTTAAAAATACATTTTCATCCCAAATATCAGGCAAAAGCCACTAGTCATTTAGTGTCATCTATCTAAAGTATGTGTTTTATGCAGTGACAGCATATCTTATGTAAGTTTCTCAGTTCCCTGTATCTGCACGCCATTTAAGTAGCAGGGGATTCCCTGCAGGAAGTAGATTCCAGCAATGGTCTCCAAGGAATTGGTACGTAAGAATCAGCCAGGGAGCTTTTACAAGTTTTGTGTATGAGTTTCTGTGTCACACCTCAGACCTAATGAATGGGAGACTCCCGAGCAATGGTCCATGACTAGGGTTCAAATCCCATGTCTGCCAGTCACTAGTTGTATGGCCTTAAGCAAAACATTAAAGTTCTCTAACTCCTAGTTTTCTCAATTGTAAAATGAAGATAGTAAAACTACAAATCTCACCAGGTTGTTATATGGATTAAATGAGATATTGCAAATAAAGTTCTCAGCACCGTGCCTACATCCAAGGTAAATGCACTCCCAACTTGGTAACTATTGTTATTATCTATCTGGTTATGCAATCTGCACCTTTCCCTCCCCTCGGAAGGTGGGCTGTACAACACTGAGAAGGATCCGGTGGAGAAGCTCTGTGGGTATGTGGGAATGAAAAACACCTTCTACCAGGTAAATGATTTTACCTAGCACTGAAGTCTGTTTTTGTCTTTTGTCTTTTGTCTCCTGCTTAAAGAAATAAATTAAGGAGACATAAATCGGAAAATCAAACAGGTGGCCCACTAACTTTCTAATTTTTCCATTTGCAATAAGCTTTACTAATTTGAAAACAACTGCCCTCTGGAACAAATGGGGACTTGTTTCCCATTCTCTTAGGAACACATTATGGAATGCATTGCCCATGTTAGATCAGTGTACTTGCCTGATAAATATTTGTTGAACTTCTATCAGTATTAGTACCATGCCAAGTATTTATCTAGACAGAGCCAATGTACATTTTCCTGGAAACTAGCCAATTATAGGAATAAGAATCATTTCCGTTGGGAGGCTTCTTTGTGTTACTATTAATGATTTTCCTGTTGGGGGCATAGAAGGTCCATAACTTCCTAGCTGTGTGCTCCTTTCTACTTCCAGCATTCAAAACAGCACAAGAATCAATGGGAGAACTCGTCCCTCTTCTTTGTGTTAATGAGAAATATCAAATATAAAGAAAAAACCCATAAAACATTCCAAAGGAGTGAATAAAGGCAGAACAGAGAATAGGTGATAAAGGGGTAGCACAAGGAATCTTTGAGGGGTAGATTACTTCCTTCTCTTGATTGTGATGGTGATTGTAGGACACTACGTGTGTGATAAGTTTGCTTAGAACCACGCACACGCGCACACACACACACACACAAAGTGAATGCATGTAAAAGTGGGAAAATCTAAGTAAGTTATGTGGATAGTACCAAAGCCCATTTTCTGGTTTTGATAGTGTATTCTAGTTATGCAAGATGTTATGATTGTGGGAAATTGGAAGAGGGTATAAGGGACATCCCTGTACTATTTTTGCAACTTCCTGTAAACTGATAATTATTTACAAATAAAAGGTTTTAAAAATTCCAAATGATCTGCCAACTCATAACCATTTGAATGATAACATTTATTCAAAGGTATTCTAAGGGAAACCATTTCTTCATTAATTATTAGGTACTTTAGAATGAATAATGGTCGATTTTCTCAATATTATGATCCTGGTAAATGATCAAACCTCAAGAATATCACAATTTTCCTCATTTCCAATTTAGTATTATGTACTGGCTTTTTTTTTTTAACTTCGATATCACTTGCTACAGGGAGAGGAGTATAAAGGGGCAGGCAAAGCTCCAAACGTGTGGATAAGACAAACAGGTTATGGAAGTGAAACAGAGCTGAGAGCAGGTGGTTTAATAACTCATTGGCTTCAACAGTCAGGAAAGTTGACCTATGTCCCCTCCCGCCCTGGTCTAGGGCTCCAAGCTGGTACAAGCTGCTACATATAGCCCTTTTGTCCTTTCATCCACATCAGTGACCCTGCAATCTCACACCTGAGGTCCACATTTGAAAAGATAAGTCTGTTTCCTTAACTCAGTCTATAAGGAGATCAGGGTAATTTTTCCCAAATCCATGTATTTGTTTCATTTCTTTATTCCTTCATTTATTGACTATTTCTTGATCTTCCATTAAAAAAAACAACAAGGAAAAAGTAAGGAGATAGGAGATGGCTCCTTCCCTCAAGGAG